GGAATACCCGCTTTTCCGAAGAGGGGGGTTCCCCCAATGGGCGGGGGGGGCCATTTTGGGGTTTTTTCAACTTGTCCCGGGTTCATGGGGGGTTGGGGGGTCCCCCTAATGGGGGGGGGGGGCTTAGGTTTTCCACCCACCCCACCCTGGGGCAAGGGATGGGAGCCTCAGCCAGCCTGGGGGTGGGCATGCTCTCGCTCAACCCGGGGAAGGGTTTCCCCATAACCGATATCCTGTCCCACCGGTGGCTGCCCAAGAGGCGCGCCGTCTCGTTGGGGCAGGTGCCGTTTTTCACCACCATTGCTTCCGTTCACCGCCACTCCGGAGCCCGCCGCGGTGGCCATGGTTTAAATTTCCACCACGGCCCCGGTGCCTTGGCTTCCGCCATTAGTGGCGGTTCCGTGGCCTCCGGGGCGGTTCGGTGGTTTCCGCCCGCACATTTCCGCATTTCCCCGGTTGCTGTTTGTTCCGACTGTGATCCCAAGGGACCTACAGTTGTCGCCCCTCAAGGTGTTTTAAAGCTTCCCCCCCCCCCCCCCCCAGGAGAACATGCGCATCCCCGAGTTCAAACGCAAGGGAGTGATCAGCGATTTGCCCGACTATCGCACGCCGTACCGCACTTCGGTCGCCGCCGCTGCCGCTGTCGCCGCCGCCACCGGCGCGGGCGGCAGCGCCGGCTTCGTGGTGCCCACGGGCGGGCAGACAATAGGGCACCAGGAGAGTATGGATTTGGAGGAGTACGGCCGGTGCGCCTCGCCCTTGCCTTCCGCACAATCACCACCCCATCGCGACCACGCACGTGCTTCACACACACCAGCACGAAACACGCCTTCAGGTTGAGACATGAGTCGGCGGGCGAGCTACCCAACTACCGCGGCAGCGCGGGCTCGGACGCGCGCATTTCCTGGATCGAGGCGACGCGTCACCGCCGCCATCCGACCCGAGTAGGTTCTTTCACGCGCTTTTGCTCTGAATAGGCGACCGCCGTCGCGCCCGATCTTGGGCCGAGCTCCTCCGAGGGGGCCGGCCCGCCCCTCTCTCTCCAGCGGCAGCACGCTTTCCTGGGCGCCCTCCCTGAGGGCGACCCGAGGCCGTGACATGGCGTGAGCTTTTGGTTTTGTGCGCTACGCGTTGGACCAATAGTACGCGGTCGCGGAGCGTGATCCCCTTTCCGCGGAGTAGTCATGATGTTCTGAACTTCTGATGACGATAGCTCGTCTCGCCGTTACGCCGAAGTCTTCATCTCATGACTCATCGCGGCCACGGGCCACACGCATCAGACTTGGACCCTCTCGAGCTGCCTCTTAATGAAAGGGGCCTGCACATATTTTTTATACGTTTTAGAAAAACCCGCATAGTCTCCCCCCTCCATTCTCTCCCCCTGTTGGCGCGCCCCCCCCCAGCCCGTAACCTGCCATATGTGGGAAGCTGGCCGCCGATCCTAAGAGACCCATCGCGGCCAGGGCTTGCTAGATCGCGCGGGGCGAATGAGTGATGAAGTTAGTGCCTTGGTGTCCGTCCCCCATGGTGGCTTCCCCTGATCTCTCTCACTCCCAGGGTACTCCCTCGGTGTGGTGCTCCCTTATCCCCCCCTCATCCCTCCCCTTTCTCTCTCCGAGATGACCCGTGCGCTACGTGCCAAGGTTCGGTCCTCGGGGGAGGTGGGGATTGATAATGTGTCATTATTGGGTATCCTTTGTCGATGGACGCCCAACAGTTTCGATTTCCCTCCTTAGCGCCCCGGGTAGAGCGTGGCCTCCCCTGGAGCCTGCCACGCCCGTTCTGTCTAAGCCCAGGGTTCAGCTTTCCTGTTGATCCTTATCGGACTGCGGACTGGGGTGCGAGTTCCATCTCACTGTCAGTGTGGCGTCGCCGGCAGTCATTGGCAGCGGTGCTACACACACTACGCCTTCATTCGTTTCCAAAGGAGTGTTTTCTTTTGACAGGTCGAGAGCTCGGGAGATATTTGTCTATGCGGGATGTTTTTCTCTTTTTCGGTTTTCTTTTTTGTGGAAGAAGCGAAGAAGGTGCAGGCCATGCATGGCTGGCTAAGGTGCAGGCGTGCGAGGGCGCAAGCTGCGTCGTGCGGGCTGCTAGCTGGGTGCTCACTTGTGTTGTAAGCTGCTGTTTTCTCAGGGCGCGGGCGGTCGCGCAGTGCGTGAGCCGCGCGGGCGTGTGTAAGTGTATTGTTGCACAGGAGTGCACAGGCATGAGGGGTGAAGCATTCCTGGCCGAGCCGCCCGGGAGCGCGCGCGACGTGCCACGCGCGCCTCGCCTGGTGGAACGGGGCTGTCGCGGGGTGC